GCCGGCATTTCTTACGTTATACATCTCCCAGCTTTCTTTTCCGCTTTGCTCCAGTCTCCCCCTCCCCTCATCTCACCCTCCGCCTCTCTCTTTCTCCGCCATTCTTTATTTCTGCTTACAGACGATGCTTGTCTCGATCAGCATTCATTGCGCGAGACGCGCGGAGCGAAAGACGTCTTTATTGAAAAGTTGCGCCGCCACCGCTCAAGTAATTTAACTGTTACGATGGGAAATGTCAAGAGACGAATATGAAACGTGGGTTTTTGTCAAGTATTCAATCAAGCTCGTCGGCAAGATGACACGCTCTCACCGAGCAGCACTGAAACGATACGTCAAATGTGTCGGCATTAAACGACTTCGCGATATTTTATACGACGAAATTGTAGCCGCGTATACAATTACGATTTGTCATAGCGCTGCATTCTGCCGTGAATTATGAAACGTTCATATAAAATTGATTTATAAACTGTGTACGTTTCACTCTCGCAACGATTTGAAAGCGATAAACAATTTAGACGTGCTTTTCGCATCACTATAGATCGTAAAGCTCCATTTATTGTTCCATTTTGGGCACATTGATTGACGTACGTGAGACACATTCGATTCAAGGCAGTCGCCAACTATACGCCGCGATTGACTTTTGAACAGAAATATCGTATGCGGACGTGACATATCGAAACCGAAATAGCTCGTCCTTAAACTGTCAAGGTAACGAATTACCGTAGAATCAGGTGCGTTCTACTTCGAATGTGTGTTCCAGAAAGAATTCTCCACTTTATAAAATACGCTCGATTTATCTGTGATTGATACATAAAAATGCGCTTGTCATTTGGAGCGAATCATGCGACACACGCCAAACGATCAATACGTTGCTCGTTAAACCATACATTATTGTAATTGGTGTAATCAACAATTCTTACAATAATTACACATTGATTGTAAATTATTGAAAGTGCGCTCGTTTTAAAAGCTCGAATTTCGCAAGGGCGTTTAAACGGATCCACAAATTTACCAGAAGTTAAAAGCTAATCCGCTAGGATTTTTCGTACACGTTAAGAACTTGACGTTTCTTACGATTGGTGGTTCGGAGCCATTTCCGTGAAAGCCGCACGCGCAGAAAGGTTTTTGAACTCGCGAGCGGAGAATCCAGCGGATGCGTTATGCACGAGAGAGGAAGGTGCATGTTCAGAAAAAGAGGCGGAAAGAACGAGGAACGGCGGGAGGAAGAAACGGGAGGGAAGATAAAGATGTTCGGTGTTTCCTTTCGTCGTACACGCGGCCAGAAACGTCTCCGCGCTTCCGTTATTTTTTCAGAAAACAATGTCGGACAGCCCCGGTCGGGTAGAATCTTTTTGACTTTCTATTTCCGGTAAGAAGCTCTTCGACGAGTTCGGGACGATCGATGGAAAAATATAGCCGCTAATAGTCTCTCTCGAAAGGGTTCGACAGTTTGATCGACAGACTTTTTGCCGTCAATTTCGATGGCGCTCTTCTAGTCGAGGGACTCGAGGCGTCCCTGGCGACTTTAATATTCGATGAATTTTTATTCTCCCCGACGGGGATGGCGCAAATAGTCGCGAAAAAATGCAGGAAACGGCTTTGAAGTAACACTTGAATTAAAGTGGAATTACACTTTGACGCGCGCGCTTTTGATATTTATAATTTTATGACTGCTACTTAAATCCTTTTAAACAGCGAGACGATGAGTGCACTTGCAAACTCGTTATAATGAATCGAATCTTTCTCCTCGTTCTTCCTTCTTATTTGTCGCGTATAACTGCGACGATGAATAAACTTAGCGAGAAGGGAGCGGACAGTTCCCGCGATTGGACGTGAAAAATTAACTGCACGAATTGACTTCTGCGAATCACTATAGGTACGTCGCGGAACGAGCGAACGCCTGAATAATTAATACGTGTTATTAAACTTATGTCCAAATGAGAGAGTAAAGAGACACGTGCCAAGGTATACCTATTATAATCGCGAATGTTATTTTTATACCAGTTCTATATTCGATTGACCGAGGACTCGTGCGGACGCGCTTCAGCCGGATGATGACGCGCGGCTTATGAGACGCCGACAAATTGAAAACTCTGAATTTTTAATTCCACAGAAAATTGCTCAGCCGAACGTTGGAAGTTACTTCCCGGAAACTTCTACCGCCTTTAATGCATGCTAATCCGCCGTTACTATAGCCTGCGACTTTTCAACCCTTCTCTCCTCTCGCGCTCGCGCGCGCGGGAGTCCCTCGCGGGAATAACATTTCCATGATCGATCGCCGATCGCGGTTAAGAGGCGTATTAATTGCCCGTCGATCGGTACCTCTAATTATCGACGTGCACCGCGCAGGCTGATTAATTACTATCGGCTGCCCACGGGTGGTAACCAAAGTGAGATCGATGTTCGACCGAGGGATTCTCTTTAATTCGAGTCGATCGAGTGATTATTTTTCATTCCGCGCAGCCGTCCTACCCGTTATTTCGCTTCTTTTTTTTGGCCCTATTCTCTTTTCTCTGTGTTCATCTCCGACATTTTGGTATTTTAATGTCCCGCGGCTGATTTCCTCCGCTTCGTCCATTTAAAAGCCATTTAAGACGCGACTACTTAAACTTAAAGTGCAAGCATTTTTATGACGCAATCTTATTTCCGAAAATTTAATTTTCTTCATTCCGATAATAAGAATTTCCACGACGCTTTGTTTGATTAAGTTACCGTGTTTTTATTTACAAAGTTTATATAATTTGACCGAATAACGCTACTTCTAAAATTTACAATGTCTACACCGCAAGTTGGATATTTCCTTTGTATTGGAGAAGTCGTGATCAAACTGCAAACAACAACGTAGCCCATAAGTACGATTTTCGCGAACTTTTGACAAACTTCGAAGAGTTCGTCTATTTTCGCTTGAAAAGCATTAACGCGTGGAGCGGAAGAAGAATTTCTTGCTGCGCGCGCGGATTCCGTTGAAAAAGAAAAAAAAAAGAAATAGAAAAAGAGAAGAGAATAGAAAATACACGGACGCGCTGGAACGTCGCTAATTTGCGAACTCGGCGTTTCGGATTTCGGAATTCTCGCGTTTCGGTGGGCCGCGTCGTCGGTCGTGTCCTCCCGGCCCGTCTTTGTCTTTTTTAAAACGTGACTCACGGAGAGTTCATTAGCACCTAGCCACGCGCCATCGGACGAACGGCGACAAGCCGCGCCGGGCCGGTCTTGCGAGGGTGGGAGAACACACTTGAGATTCGGGCTCGCCCGGGTAGTTGTACTGCCAATGGGACACAACGACTATCCGATGATAATTCCATTACTATTGTCCTTCTTCATTGTTATTCCCCGTTGGTACGTACCGACGACTGTTCGAGTCCTCTTCTTGGATTCCCGTTCGATTACAGAGGGATTTTGAGGAAAGTCACGTTTGCTGGCGATGCGCCCGAAATATGGCGTAAGAATCCCGAAGTGCTCGCATACACAAAGATTACCTGAAATTGCGGTCTTACGCGATATCTTCTCGTCGGGCGTTTTGCTCCAAGAGACATTGGGTTCCTTTGTCACGCAGGAAACGTTTCGATCATTACGGGAAAGTATTATGACGACGGAGCTCTCTCCGACGAATTTGGAGTCGCTTTTTCACGACGGTTATTTAAACAGTGAATTTATATTCTCGAAGATTTCTTCGTTGAAAACTTATTTCCAAATACTTTGATATTTTTACCAAGGAAGCTTATCAAAACAAAGTTACAGCTAGTTAAAGATCTTGCAATTGAAATTTTATGTGAGAAAGTAGACACTCGGTGTAGGAATGACGATACTTTTCCCTCGATTTATTACTATTTCAAGCTCATATTTCTTTCGACGTCTACTTATCGTAAATTGTTGTTGAATAATGTATTCGTGAAACGGTATCACTGATTACCGAGATCCAGTTAACATATCTGCTAGCATATATGCGACTTTTACAATTTTGACGGCGCGATAAAATTCGCAACGTAATTTCTTTAATCTCATATTATAGATATTAGACATTGTTGACATGATCTACTTATGCTTTTCTGTCTATCGATTGAGAAACGCATCTGCCGGTTTGCTCATGAATGCGTGGAATTTAATTAATAATATTGTTATCGCTGTCCTTTGCTCGAGAATTTCAACCGAGCTATTCAATTATTCTGATCTGATTACAGAATTTACTTAATATTCATATACATATTGCACGATATTGTACTGTGGATGTTACGTTAGATGCAAAAACTCGATCATTGCAATGCAAAATGTCATGAAACGTTATGTGATATCTAGAATTTATGTGATATCTAAACAATTTTCGAAACGAGAGAATCGACAGAACGAGGGATTATATTACTGCTTCTCTCAACTTCGTACGAGAGAATTAAGAGATCATATCGCTGCCCTCGTAAACATTTCTTCGATTCAAACTCCCGAAATTTGTTTATTCAGCTTTTAGAAACACCGCACCGTTCTTCGCGCGAGCATACTAAATTACCATGTGCTTTTGGGTAACATGCTACCCAAGTTCATTAGCACCGCCACGCGCCAATAGCCACGGCCATTGCTCGCTGACACCGAATACGGGGGCCTTCGGCGGTTGGCAGGGCGACGGGAGAGCGATTGACCGTGCAGAAAAAAGTCCTTCTTCTGCGCGATATATTCGTGTGTCAACGGTCGTCAAATTCCGTCCGCAAGAAATTTCGCGGCACGTGGATTTCTCGATCTTTCCTTCCTTGTTTTCCGTCCTGCATCAGTAAAAAAGACACGAATTCGCTTGAATCCAATTCTGAGGTTCGTTGACCGACGTTTGCGACTGTTGCGTCTTGTTTCCACAATCAAGGAGTCTTCATTTTTTTTGCTTGGCGAATATAAATCGCGATCTATTTCATATATCTTTAAAATCTCTTCTTGAAACACTATATTATATATTTTATAATTATAATAATTATAAAAGAACTACACACTTTTTTGTACTAACTTTTTTTTCTTGATTTCAGGTCGAGCAATGTTGCGCAGCGAGCAGTTCTTCAACTAATGTGAGTACCCATCAAAATAATCCATATGCAGGGATAAGATCCCGAAGGTTGGAATAATTTTGCGAGTTAAAATGCCTTTCAAATGTCTTCAAGGTTAAAATAAGATTTTAAAAGGAATTGCTAAAGAGAAAAATATATGCGTGATAAAAATCTATTATAATAATTGGTCGATAAATTACACAGAAAATTTGTATATTTCCGAGTTTGATTACGGCAAAAGCAACTAAACAATATCTTTTCCGTCTCTAGCCGCTCTTTTTATGATAATATATTTCTCCGTTTTATGATATTCTTCGATCGCTTTATATTAAATGTTCTACTACACTCGGTACATGCACGTATCGTCTTCGAGTGGTGTCGGGAAATGCAATCGCAGGCGTATCGACGGCGAAAGTAGGCCATCTCTTAAGAGCGCCACTCTCTTCGGAGGTTGAAAGGGGTTGGGGTGGTGTTCGCTAAAGGACGCGGTGAAAGAGAAGCTCATACAGTCAGTTGTACGCCCTGGTACTTCTCTGAAGAAGCGTCTACTCTGCGAGACTGAGTGATGCTTGAGTCTCTCCTACCTGTTAGAGAATGTCCGCGAGGTATTTGCGCTTATTTTCGCTTTACCGGATCCACTAATTGGCTAAAAATACTAATCGTATTCGAGATCGCGACATTACTATTCAGTGCTAGTTAATGGCTGGTCTGTATCTTTTTCTAACCACTTCATCGCAAATGCTTAAAAAATGTGTGGACCAAAATTGTAACAAAAATGCAACATTTATAATAATCGCAAAAATCATAAAACTTTGGGATAAACTTTTTTCAGAATATATTGTATGAATATTACTTTTTTATCACCGTGTAAAATTCTCTGCCGCTCGATTATGAAGAATGGCGCATCTCGCCAGTCCTTGAATTACTATAGCGGCGACATCCCCATTTTCTACCCCTTTCGCACGCCTGCTTGCGTCTCCCCGGTATAAAGTATGATGCGCGGAGTAATTTTAATTACGCGATGCAGCGGCCCTGAATTGTTGCTACCACGGGGACCTCAGACATATTGGACTAATTCACGTCATTCAGGCGACACTTATTAAACCCGGGAATGCCGTCGGCCTTAATCCTGGCAGAATGCAGGATGGAGCCGCACGGAGAGGATGAAGGACGTGGCGGTGCGATGAACATCTCTGCGAGGCGACTTCTACTGAAAGTCGAGGATTCAAAGACTTATCGTAGCCTTTGACTGCTGAATCGAGGACTACCGCCGTTACGGTGATTATATTTTGCGAAACCAAAAAAAGAATTTGCATTAACGTAAAATAAAATAAATTCTATACTTTATTTACACATAATTAAATATTAATACAAATAATGAAAAAATAAATACAGTATCACGAAATTTGGATGGGCCGTTAAAATTTCAAACATTGTAGTAGTTATAATGTACTTTTTCCTTTCAACAAACAATCCGCGAATCTGTTAAGCTTAATTCCAAAGTAAACGCCTTACGTTCGAATTACATGTTTGTTTACTGCATAAAGGAAATAATAACCGACCGAGCATTCGGGTACGATTTCGCACAATGGTAATTAGAGCCACGCACGTTGAGCATTAAAAAGCCATTGTCAAACAACGGAAAAGAAGAAGGGAGAAGGGAGGGGGACAAGACGAAGAAGTAATAATCGCCATGCTTCGGGGTTCGGTAACGAAGGCGAAACAAAACGCTGCACAATGTAATCGGCGAATAATAATCAGCGCCCCGGCACCGTTATCGGACGGGCATAACGAGCGCTATCGTTAGATTTTAATGAGCGCTATCCCTAAATTAATATAACGACCCGCGTGATCCCGGGACCGTAACGGCCCTCGCGTAGGGCCCCGTGACGTGACACGCTGAGCAGACTGCCGTGACGATTTTTCGACGACTAATGCTACGCGTGTAAAACGCTTTCCGACTAATGCTCGTAACGATTGTCGCAGTTAACGATAAATTATGAATTAATTGCTGATCGGCGCAATAAATATATAACTTATTAGTTGATAACATTAGATACCGAGATTAGATAATGAAACCGTTTAGAAAACGAAACGCAACTTAAAAACGTTTTATCATCTTTTCCTGTATTCTATTTTCGTCCAAAATATGTCGCATGTGCGGAGAGAGAAAGAGAGAAAGAGAGAGAGAGAGAGAAACGCGACGTCAATTAACAGTACACTTCTTGATTAAAGTTATAGGGTACAGTAATTAGCGATTAATTAAAAGAGCGTCTCTTGAGCGGATACTACTTTTGCGTCGCGGCAACGGAGGAGATCTCGCGAATCGGTTACTAATTGGTCGTAATTAGCGACGGATACTTAATTCTCGATGTTATCACCGATCTCTCGATCATTATAAGTTTTGACAAGTTAATCGCGCTGCGTAAATAAAAAATAAGAGAGAAAAGAGAAAGAAGGAAGGGAGAAGAGAGAGAGAGAGAGAAAGAAAGGAGAAGAGGGGTAATTGGATACCAGCAAAAGCAACGGGGTCTTGTTTCTTGTCTCTCACTCCTTGTCTGGCAGATTCATTAATTAATAGTGCCGTATATCGCGCAGTGATGTGACGCACACATGGCGCGCCGTTGCGTCGTAACGTGATTTCCGTCGCGACGCGTAAATAATCGTGTCAGAACCAAAGTTACAGGCACGAGAATAATTTTACTGTTCTTCTTTGGCAATTGATAAAAATATATTCTAAACTTTACTTCGTTTTTTCAAAAATAATAAAACATCTGACTTTGATTTAAATAGAAAGTGTAAATAATATGCAATTTCTTAAAAAAAGTGTGATTGTGTGTTCACTTAGAATTCACTAATTTCCATCTCGATACTTAATCCAGATTATAGAGGGATTTTACTATATTATTCAAACTACCGAGCAGTGCTATAAAGCCGATAAAGAAAAAGGTAATTTCTCACCGCGTAAGCAGCGGATCTAGGGAGATTTTCCGCTGCAACACCGCGTAACATAGCAGCGAGGAATAATGTGCAGTTTGATGCAGCCGGTACATGCGGCTCGAGACGGCACGCAAAGTCTGCGCTAACATCAGGCTTCAGACGTCGTTTCCGGAGGGTGGGCGCACCGACTTCCCTTCTTTCCGCGCTATGTTCGAGCATTGTATGCTAGATCTTGTTCTCCTTTTCCTGTATGTATGCATGGGTAAACGTCGCGCTACGATGCATTGCGTCGGAGTAAAAAAGGAACGCTGCTCTTTTTTTTCCGCTCTCTCTTTCTCTCTCCTTCTGGTGACATTTTTACCGCGAACTCGTGCCTTTATACAATATTTTACATTTGATGTTTCTTTATGTGGTATTTCCATGATTGCACTCGCGTGAAGTATATTTTGATTCCATCATCTGCACCCAACTTCAAAAAATTACTAGGTAGAATTTGTGTAATTACTAGCGGCCTTGATGCACTGACACGAGTTGTAGTCGAACAGAGATGGCTACTTTTGATATCCTTGTGTTATCACAGGCAGCAATTTTTTGCGTCATTTGAGTATTGCTATGAAATATTTTAATGATAATTTACTACTTAATTACTCGCATAATTACTCGCAAAATTATTTCAACCTTATTATATGTAACATTATTTAAAAAGTAAGACAATGCCGATTAGTTGTCAAGTCGGCAACGATGTATCGAAACATTGAGAAACGCATGTGTGTTGTAGCCCTAATGACGACTTCTCGTGACTGAAAGATTTAATTCTACGACCGTGATGGTCGTTTTATCGATCAAACCATATTTAAACGTTCTCACCGTTCCCCGGCAGATTAGATGCCAAAGTTAATTACGAATTAAAAACCGTCCCGCTCGCGCGCGGTGCGCTTTAGGCACAATAGCACCGCAGCGGTACGGTACTTTTGTAGCACCCCATATATAATTTATGAACGACTTATGGCATTACCGGCCGACATCGCCGCATCGTACAAAGCGCGCAATAGCGCATCCTAATGCGTCATGATGCATAATAATGCATCATAATGCGTCATGGTACGCCATAATGCACGAAAATGATTCTCCGCCGGGAAAGGTTTTCTTTATCTCCTCGCGGCTGCTAAACGCGATTTCCCGACGGTTCCACCACCGCAAGATAATTGCATTTCGTCACCCGCGCCACTAATTATTGCCTACGCGATTAGCCGCGCCAGAGGCGCGAAAAATGCCCGTATGATTGGCGACCCCCTTCCCCCCCTCATCATACACATCTATCGCTCATTTGTTTTCTTAATTTGAGAAATTATTAGTAGCGTTTGAATTTGAATGAAAAGCCGTATCGAGTGAAACGGACGGTATTTGAATCGATTATAAATAGCTATCCGACTTTTGCCATGCGTTTTACCGTGGACGCGCACGCGAATTAACTCATAATTTCCAAAGCGAATTCACGCGAAATCCATCGGCGAACTCTGTATGCCGACGCGTATGAAATGCATTTTAAACGTTCACGAGCGCGTCGCGCATCGAGCGCGATTTATAGTGTCCCGCATAGTAATCTCCTCCCCGCACTCTCTTGTATGTATCGCAGTCCCCGACGTGGTGTATAACGTCGGTAGTAGCGACACGAGACTGGTACGTACACACATAGCACATAGCTCCCTGTGTACGTCGTATACCGCGCGCATATTTCGTTACTGTACGAAAATTCATGGCACAGTACAACCATGTTAGTATAGAATCCCCTAAGCCCCTAAGTACTAATCCAGCCTGTCACCTCTCTGGCGAGAGCGCTTCAGATATTTACCCTCTGTCTCGTGAGTATCCATACTGTAATAAAGAAAATCTTTTTGGTACAGTATCACGAGTGTCGCCTGGCGCTGTCCAATATCTTTTTTCGATCGCCAGGCGAGAAGTTTGTTATGAACTCTCTCGCCCACGGAGGCGCGCCGGAAGAAGCCTAGCAGGCGCGGCGCACTCGACGATTAAATGAGTAACGATTACGTTAATCGCGATACTATATGCTCCCCATGGGA